TCCTATCTCACATAAATATAGTAGGTAAAGGTGTTTAGTTAGAAGTTGTTGTATCCTAATCAGCACATAGCTGTATTTTTTTTTTTTTGTGCAGTACTTGAAAGCACATGGCTGTATTGGAATATTCATTTCTGAATTTTGACTTTGTTTACTCTTCAATTCATTTCTTACAATGAACATGGCACTTATCTGTCTGAATGTGTTAATTCCTGTTGATGATTTATGTGCTGACTCTATAGTTATACTGCATTGGTGTATAATATCGTCGGACTCCCTGTTCATACATGAGAAATTGGAGCATGATTCATGCCAAATTGCCAATGTCCTTATCCAAGAACAGTGTTTTCCCTTCATTTATTTTATATTTTCCTCCTGTAAAATGCAGGTTTGTACCGGTACAGGCTAGGGGATGTTGTGAAGGTTACAGGCTTCCATAACTCAACCCCGGAACTCAAATTTGTCTGCAGAAGGAACCTCATGCTCACAATCAACATTGACAAAAACACAGAGAAAGACTTACAGCTCGCAGTCGAAGCAGCTGCCAAGTTAATAGCAGAAGAAAAACTAGAACTGGTTGATTTCACGAGCCATGTGGATGTAACAACCGACCCTGGTCACTATGTAATCTTCTGGGAAGTTAGTAGCCAAGCAAGTGAGGCACTCCTGCAAGAATGTTGCAATTGTTTGGATCGTTCTTTTGTGGATGCCGGCTATGTTAGCTCTCGCAAGGTGAAGGCCATAGGGCCTCTAGAGCTCCGAGTTGTTCAGAGGGGAACCTTTCACAAGATTCTAGAACATTATCTAGGACTAGGAGCTGCTGTTAGTCAGTTCAAGACACCTAGATGTGTAGGTGCAACAAACAATATGGTGTTGCAAATCTTGTGTAACAATGTTGCACAGTGTTACTTCAGTACTGCTTTTGGCTAGAACATGTGAGAAACAAAAAAAAATCAATTTTCTGATGGTTTCTTCTTAGTAATCGAAAAAGATTCTCTTTTGTTGGCTTAATTATTTCTCCCATGTTTTTCTTTTGTAATATTTGGATGCCATTCTTCAGTTTTAGAAACACACACCACACAACCAAAATATTGGGGAAACCAATGATTTCAAAGCCGACAGGGCCCATGTTTGACATTGCGGGTTAGTCCTCTCTAGGGTTGTTGTTGTTGTTTATATATATAACTTGCATTATAAATTTTTTTATTAAATTTTTTTCATTTAATTTAAAATTTAAATATAATTTTTCAATTTTAAATTTTAACGCTTTAAATAATTAACTCATCTCTTAAAAAGCAAACTTAACTTTATAGATTAAAGTAAAATATACTTTACCGATTAAATTATAAATTTAATTACGTAAAACAAGACTATGAATTTAAATTATAAATTTAAATGAGGGACGCAACCATGTGGAAATGTCGGGCGTTAAGATAACATAATGTGGTCCTTGATCTTAAAAACTAGTAGTACAATGGAGCAGCCAGCAAAGGGAGATGGACCTCCTTGAAGCAAACAAACGAAACTGTGTTATTGTTAGAACTTGATTCCTTGCTCCAATAATAACAATGATGGTAGGGAATAAGGAGTAATAATACTGTGATCATTTGTTGTACAGATTTGTCAATACTTGAAAAATTATCTATTGTTACGAACCACAAACTGTTTTGTAGAAGCTAATTAAGTTTTTTTTGTTTTTGGTTTTTCACTCGGTATCCGAAACTTCGTTCCGATTAATCCGGACTTGATCCGTGTCGCACACCTGGAAATGGTGAGTGAGTCTCCCAGCGGGGCTGCTACGTACACAAGGTCTTAAACTCAAAATCTTATTTAAGTTAGAACAAACCGTTTACCACTTGATCAACCCTTGATCAACCCTCGTTGGTAAAAGCTAATTAAGCTATGCTACTCTTACATGGTCTTGTAGAGTCATCCATTCGATTTGATTTGTGTAGTCAGATCCACTTTTCTTTCAATCTTATTACTACCACTACTAAGGATAACGTCTTCGTAGTCATTTCTTCTTTTTAATCTCTTCTTTCTTTCTTTTTAACTAAATTTTTTTAGTATTCAAAAATTTATATTGTTATTAAATTTTAAATAATTTAAAATTAAATTGTCTTAGATCTTATATAAAAAAAAACTTT